GGCCGTAAAATCTATTTTCAACTCGAATAAGTATATAAAATACTGTGAGTACTTTACTACAAGAAAAAACTATGAAGTCCATAAAACAAGCAACATTTTCACCAAAAATTCAATGACATTTTCTTCCTTAATGCCAACTTAAAAAGTAGTATCTCATGCCATATTTACTGCCAACATGCTTCTTACATTAGGCTGTATGGGATAATACATTATCTTTTTGTACAAAACATTAATGCAACCTCACCACAAAGTTATCTTTAATTTCTCTACCAAAGAAAAACAAAAAAAGGACAGCAAACCTATCTTAAGTCTATTGGATAGCAGCGTCTATGTGTAGATTTTTACTCCCTTTGAAACTGCCATCGTGCACATTCTCATTAAGTCCTTAAAAATCAGTACAACTAGTGGGACAATTACAGTTATCATCCCCAATTTCTCATAGTTAAGAAAATTTGGGTTCACGAGTATTATTTGCCCAACTGCAAAGAAAACAGAATGAAAACGTGCCCAATTTTTCTTCCATTTGTATTATAAGGAATCATGATTAGGGTATCAAAATTACTCACATAGGGCTACGTTAAAATTAAATTTACTTTCATTTAATTTTTTTGAGTCAGGGTCTCACTCTGCTGCCCAGGATGAATGCAGTGGTGCAATCACAGTTCACCGCAGGCTCAACCTCCAGGCTAAGCAATGCTCCGACCTCAACCATCTGGATAGCTGAGACCACAGGCGTACACCATCACATCCAGCTAATTTTGGTACTTTTGTAGGGACAGTCTTGCTACGTTGTCCAGCCTGGTCTTGAACTCCTGGCATCAAGTGATCTCACTGACTCAGTCTCTCAAAGTGTTGAGGTTATAAATATAAACAATTGCACCTGGCCACAAATACTTATTAAAAAGGGAACTATGATGGTTTCTTTAAATTGACTGAATTTCCATTTTCTATAACTTAAATTTTACCTCTAGTTGTTCGTCCTCCAAAAGACTTATAACCAGCCACCTGATATCTTTAACTGCATCTTCATTGTTTAGGAA